TGGCAGGGGGAAGAAGAAGCCTCCCCTAGGGGTCTCGCCCCTCACAAATGGCCAAATCTTGTTTACTGCTGTGCCCTATCGCCTATGTTGAGTTGAGTGACCATATGGAATAGCCAGTGGCTACGCGGACCAAACTGGAGCTTTACTGGAAAATTTTTTGGACTAGAAGGTTGTGCTCCTTTCATCGCCGGATCACGGTTTTTTGAAAAAATGCCCCTGATTCACCCTAGCTTTAACTAGCTTGTGGTAATAATTTATTAATTGAAGTTAAAACGTCCAGTACGTTTGCACATTTCAGGAATGCTTCTAGAAATATTAAATTTTGAAAGATTGGTTCTTAAAAAGCTTTTTCCCTTGACCGATGCCTTTTTAATTGTCGAAAAAATTTAAATCTTTAAATGGCAGGTCAGCTCCTCAATGATCTCTGCTAAATTGCATCCGGCAACCGGCAGTGAAGGCAAGCTGTTACGGCTGCTAGGTTTCCATGCGTGTATTTACCTCGTAAAATTTTTGTTGCTACACTATTGGAGGTCCTAAATGAACTCTGCTAACGGACAACCCTGTTTTTTTATGCTTGTTTGACGAATTTTTGAAGATTATAATGTTTATCCCTCGATCGGCAGGACACAGTGGTGTCCACTAGGCCGTTTTGTGTTATCGGACCGGTCAGCGTTTCAGGTCTCTTTAAAGCCGGCTTTCACGCTCGTCGATTCTAATTCAAATTAAAGTTTTTCCATGCGTTTACTCTTCCCACCTTCATCACCATTCCCCAGATCCGTGACGTTCGCACTGACCAGCTTTCCGGGGGTGATCCCCCGTTCGAAATGACTCTCTAGTCATCCTCCCCCATCCACCCCATTTCCCGGGGGTTTATATCCCTTTCCGGTAGATTGCCATAATTTGGGAAATGGCCATCGGCCACTCCTTCTGATTCCCGAACGGCGAGAGTCTGCGAAGGTCTGTGCATCTCTGCGTCTCTCGCCCTCTCTATTGTCCATTTCCAAGGCCACACCTTCTTCTTTTCTTCCTTCTCATGTTCTCACAATATGCCCCACAAAACATCCCAAGTCTCGTCCAGGGAAATGTCAACCCATACCCCTTCAGGGCCTATAATTTTGGTGTCGACCGTTCGTCCATTTTTTTGGAATAATTGTTATAGGAAACGTGACTTTACCAGGATTTTTGACACAACGTTCTGTCTACATTTTTTTGATGTGCGTTTACTGTATTTTATCCGTAATATGACGCCTTTGAAATATCGAATTGAGGCTCTAGATCTAACGGAGGTTTGAAAAAAATATCCGCTTTCAGAAGCCTCGATGAAAGATCGAATTTTCGAAGGAGTTTTTGCCGTTTCGTTTTTCTTGATTTAGTGAAATCTTATGGGGTATTATTTGGGAGGCTGATTTGAAAATATAATTTTTGCCTCGCTCTCTCTCTCTCTCTCGCTCTCTTCGGCCCAATCTCTCTCGCTATCCCTCGCTCTCCCGCTCTCTATCTGTCACTCGCCGCCTCGTTCTACATCTCTTTCTGTCTTTTGTTACCTATTTAAAAATTTAAAGTGTTCATAAAAAAATTTTAGTTCTAGTTTTAATTCTTCATTCTAATTTTTTCAATTTCGGGAAATTCCCTTTTGCTTACTTTGATTTTTAAGGGCTCCTAACAAGGGAACCACCTAAGGTCAAGGTGGCGTTTCGCTATGGGACCCAGCCTATTTTGTGTAGAATTTTTTGCTGATTCCGAACCTGATTTCATTTTTTGCTAAATAGCCCAATTTAAAAAGTTATAGCGATTTTAAGATCGTATTTGAGCCCACGGGAAGTCATCTGTCACGGTGCCCAACTTTTTTATTTTCATAGGGCAGTCGATTTTCAATGGCCTATCTTGTAGAGAATTTTTTTCTGATTCGATTGGTATATTTCATTAGTGCGTTACTACCTATCGATGATCACTTAAGGGGGTGTGAAATAGGCTGTTTTTGACCATTTCCCATACAAAAAACGGAGTCCATACCAAGTATCGTCGATTTTTTCAATTTTCAACAATTTTGAGTTAAATAGCTGATTCGATAGAGAAAATTTTTCTGAATACGATGGCGATCTTCATTTTTGAGGAATCAGACGGGAAAGGCAAGATAAATGACGTTGAAGTTCGAAAATTTGGGAAAAAATGTATCTTTGAAACGCTATAACTTTTTTAAATTGGGCTATTTAGCAAAAATTGAAATCAGGCTCGGAATCAGCAAAAAATTCTGCACAAAATAAGCCGAGTCCCATAACGAAACGCCACCTTGACCTTAGGTGGTTCCCTTGTAAGCTTTATTTTTCCAGGGACCACCAACCGCCGCGACCTCAACAATTCGTCCCCCACCCGCCGCTCCTCTGATACCCTGGCAATTCTAATATTCCGATGGTGACCTGATGGTCGTACGATTTCCCACCCCACAAATCGGCTCATCCATTTTCTTTTTTATTTCCTGGGTATTTTCATACGGGTCCGCTTCTTTCGTCGAATTCCCGCCCTACAAGCCGAGCGAGCAGTATAAAGTGAGTCTAATTTTGTTAAATACACCAGCGGATATGAACAGCATAATCGGTTTCTCGGTGAAATTCTAGAATTTGTCTAGCTCAAAATTTTAGTGCGGCGCCTTCTTGCGTGGACGGGTCGACGATCGGGCACTTTCGCTGTACTACAGCGGCATACGACAATTTGTTGATTGGGTGTCGCAGCCGTTTCCGCATCGGGGTACGCTTTTTAAGACGAAATTATCAAATTCACCCTCTCTCTCCTGAAATGTTCTGTCTCCATCCCTTTCTTTACCGTAGAATGGTCCATCGACTAGGTCTCGACAGTTACGTGATGCCCTAAAAAACCTTTTACTAAGGCCCTGACGTAAATTACGATTTTCTTTTACTCGTCATCTGGGGCGAGGCATACCTCTTGGGCAGGCCCGTAAGAGGGGGCGAGGGGCGAGCCGCCCCCCCGAAATCGGCCGAAGGCCGAAAAGTTCATAAGGGGGGACCCTTATGATTTAAATTTTCCAAAAAATTTTTTGCCTGCGGCGCTGTTTTTGTCTATTTTTAACACTAGTTTTAGTGTTATAAACCCTATGTTTTCAAAAATTTTGCCTGCGGCGCTGTAGTTTTAGTCATATTCGTGAAAAATTTTTGGGGTCGCCCCCCCCCCCGAAATTTGGGTTTGTTACGGCCCTGCTCTTGGGACCTAGTGAAAGGATAGGCTCGATTCTGTGATTTTCAAGTGCATTAAGCTAAATTACAGCGTTACAGTAGTAGAATTCCAAACCACGATACCAACGGACTTGAATGCTCGTCCGGAAACCCCTTTATAGAGCCATAGGGTTCGAACAAGAATAAAGTTTTTACGCGTCATCGGGCGTGCCGCGTAGCTGTCAGGACCTAGCCGTACGTAGAGTCGATTTATGTGTATCCCAGCCGCTTTAGGAGAAAATTCCGGCTTAAATCTACCCCTAGTAAAACCGTAAAACCCGAGACCGGGAACAACGGGACTTCAATCATCGTCCAATCTGCCACACCCCCGCCCCAGACGCACCAAATAATCGCTTTATTTGGGGTGGATGGTGTGGCGACGGAATGGGTCCGGTTTTCGCTACCTGCCGCCTCTTTTCTGCCGTACCTTCCTTCCCGAATACCCAGGGGGAGCTTTTCACCTTTCGTATTTTCTGGCATTGGATGGTCGAGGGGGAGGGCATCGGAATCCCATTGGGCTAATGGGTTTCGAATCTTTCGGAGTGTGTTGATAGGGACGGGATGAAAGCGGAACCGGGCAAAGACAGAAAATTTACTTCGATTAAACTAACTGCGCATAGTGAGCTTTAATTTTACCGGATTTTTATCTTAATCTAAAGGCAAGGCATACTGCCTGTAGTATCCACATGGCTGGCAAGGTATCCACATTGACTATCGGTGCCCGACGGGCTACGCGCATGCGACACGCCACTATTTCATTGCGTAATGGACCCCATTGACCAACAGTCGTCAAATTTTTTTCGTCACTGCTAGCGTTGCGGTGGGTGGTACGCCAATTACGTTGAAGTATCCTGAATCCTGAACATGGATCCTGAAATTCATTAATCTTCCTTTGCATGTCCCTTTAGTACGTATCATAGCCTCGAAAAAACTTTATGGCGCGTAGTGCCACACGAAAATGTCGGCTCACGGTCTACGCGCCTTGCGTTTCGCTGTCACGTCAAACTCGGCAAAGAAGCCGTAGACAGCAAAATCCATAGTCACACCTTGCTCGCTCCTTGAATCGGTATTACCCTTTCAAGGCCCTTTTTTAAGTTGTGTAATGGAACATGACCGCCACTCGTCGGTCAGATGCGCATGCTTTGCGTAGGCGTCCGTGGCGTGCGTATTTATTGATAATTTATCGCATCATGTCTTCCTGGGTCCTTGAATTTGGGCGTCATTCAGCTTCCAGCTTTTTGTTCCACTTTTTCTTTTGTTTGCCTTTCTTCCGTCACAACAGTAGACTCATCCGTAATTCCATTTCGCAAGTCAGACGAAACGAAACTCGCGGACAATGACTAAATGCAGGGAAAGGGTGACTAAAGAAGCGCATCAGGCGCACTTCTTAGGGCCTTGAGAAGCCTAAGAAGGCCGACTCGAGAATGCGGGATTTGTCCATCCTGCGGGCGGTCCAGGTTTTCTTTGTGAGTAGTAGGGCGCGCGCGTAGCACCCGCTTTTTTGGGGGGTTGTTTGCCCACATAGTGTCCACTGTACACGGGAATCCAATGGACACCATGGGAATACATCGGGGCAAGTCTGGATCGCCGCCCTAAAAAGCATCGCACGGACAGGCAGGCGTGATCATGGGGGGAATTCTTTGGTACGATTTTTACGCGTTACGCAGCGTAACTTACGCTAGATCGTTAAGACAGGGTTGGGAAAATCCTTGAAGATGCTATCACTATCAATATCAATAAAGCTCATCTGATTTTCAGAACTGCTCTCGAACGATGCCCTGCGCGGTGACCTTAAGGAGTGGCGTGACTCACTGGAGAACCGTTCTCTTCAGGTAGTCCATGTGTCATATTCAAGTTTTTTGGGTGTTCATTTGCTAAATTAAGTAGTCATCAAGCGCTTTTCAGCCTGTTTTGGTCACATCTAGGGGAATGGTGCTAATTGAAATGACGCCAGAGAAAGAGAGACAAAGAGACAGGGGAGATTGAGAGAGCGAGTGAGAGGAAGAGAGAGACGGAGAGAGAGAGCGAGAGAGAGAGAGAGAGAGCGAGAGTGAGAGAGAGAGAACGGCTTAGAGAACGTAGTAGGCTCTAATCTGCTGTTAAGCGGTGAGGTTGCGGAGCCCGGAGGCGAATCCGTGACTAATCACATAGTCACATAATACCCCTCAAGGCGGAAAGGCTAGGTGACAGTAGAAATGAGTCGCAATAGTAGTAATAGCCAAGAATGGAAAGGTATCGTAACGTTAAAAATATTAAAAATAAAGGAAATAAGGGAGTTTTGAACAGCCAAACGCCGAAAATGCCTTAAGGATAGCTTATTGTGTACGGAAAACTTTAGACATGATTTTCACTTTTTAAGAACTTTGATCAAGCGCATTAATGATACCTGGGCGACCCAATACATAAACCCGAATCTCGCCTATTACACCAATTTTTCAGTGGTTCTCGTGGCAACAATGGTGGTTGGCGGTAGCCGGGGGACTTTTACTTCTCTCCGTCCTCTTCCCGATCATCTACATTTTGTACAGGTACACAAAGTACCGGGCGTTTTTACTGACTTTTTGTCCTCTCAGATGTTGTCTATGTTGTTGCGAGGATGACGAGAAGAAGACGACCACCGACTCTCAGTACGACGGGTGCAAGCGGAATTTTTTGAACATTTGCATCGCCGTGCTGATCGTCATTAATGTGTAAGTTTATTCAGTTGACGTACGAGATTCTGAGATAACTTTTTCAGCTTCGCTGCCGCTACCCTCCTCGTTACATCCCAGTACGCAGAGTACGGGCTTGACGAACTGCCGAACCGGTTGAACCAGTGCGTCGACGACTTGAACTTGTACAAGCGGGAAACGGACTTGGTAATTTACTGCCCAGAAGTCAATGCAAAATGGAAATACAGAAAATCCGCAAGTTGCTGATCGACGACTTCAACCTGGTGTCCAACTCGTTGATGCAACAAATTGCACACGCCGGGCATGCGGTAGTCGATCGAGTGAAGCGGGCGACTGGAGCTCATGCCATTGATGTGTTCCTCAACATTACGCAAGGTAATTCATAAATGATGACGATCGCTTTCTCTTTCTCTCTATCTCTCTCTTTCTCTCTCTGTCTCTCTCTCTCTCTCTCTCTCTCGGTTCAACGTTAAGCAGTTCAAACCCTATTTTCCAGGAGCCTCAGATGTCCGCTTCATCCTTTCCGAGGTCACCCAGCAAACCCGAGAGCTCAATGAAGCCGCCGGGCGGTTCGCTGTAGAATTTGGAAGGCTACGAAAGACCGCAGAGAACGAAATTGCTCAATGTACACATGTATGATTCATTCTTAACGGCTTCAAGGTATCATTAATTTCAGACGGAAACGGACGCCTTGAAGACGATGTGCCTCCAGGCTCAGCGACTTTTAGACAACATCAGTAGCATCAAATTTGAAATTAGTGAGGTAAGGGAGAGTTTTTCTATGTGTTTTAAAATACCCTGCCGTCTGCATCTATTAGTGTTTTCTTAATTCGCAATTTTCAGGAATTCCTTATGGGCGAAAACGTCAAAGCGCTAACACGGGTAGCCAACGCCGAGGTGACGACACTTCTCGAGCAGTCCAACCAGCAGTTTGTCGTGCTGGAGAACGAGTTGCAGAGGCATATCACGGAACGGTCTTACTGTAGGTTTTGGATATCTTATTCCGCGTTACTGACTAATGCAGTAAAACGCAAAGATAGAATCTAACTGATCAGTTAAATCTTGATTTTTTTTTAGCCGCTCAAAACATGCTCAAGTCGATCGGCGACGACCTTTTCCAAGTCGCTGAGGGTGTTTCGAGTCATATTCGACAGGTATGAAAGCCTTTCGTGGAAAAAATATCGTCAGTTTTAGCTCAACTTCGACCCTCTCTACCAAGCCATCGCACTCTACAATGGGGATCAGTACTATCCTATCAAGGATTGGATCCATTACAGGTAACAATTAAAGTCTGTAACTCCCTTTTTGAATTCTTTTTCAATCTTCTCTGGTCCATTTTCGAGCTTAGGATTAGAGATACACAAATTAGCGGATACCTTATCGAAAAGGTGATATTGAAGAAGCTCGTTCAGAAGATGGTTTTCCTGGTTTAATAGGCGTAGCGGAGCAGAAGCTTCTCTACATTCAATCGCCAAATTCTACCACACCTTTTCAGTTGGTACGGCTCCCTGGCCGTCACCGCCCTGGTCTGCTTGGCCTCCCTCTCCTTCCTCTTCGGCTTATTCTTCGGGATCTGTGGTCGTCGCCCGACGTACTACAACGATGATTGCTGCGTCAGAGCTACTGGTGCCAGCTTTTATTCATGGTATGTGAAAATGCATTCGTGTGCCTTAATTCCCGCGTATTTTAGTGGTATCTGGATTTTGCTCGGGCTTTTCACCGTCCTCTCGGTGTTGACCGTCACACTGCTGCTGATCTTTGGCAATGCTACAAGTTTGGTGTGCAATCCGCTAGATGATCCATTGAGTCACCCGGATATGATGTCGGCAAGTTTTTAGAAGGAGAGAGAAGACGAGAGAGACAGAGCGTGAGAGAGAGAGTGAACGAGAGCGAGCCAGGGAGAGATAAAACTAAACCATTTTTTAGTTGATGGAACGCTACGTCGAAATGGCCAAGCACAGCGAGCAGTGGAACCAATCCGAACTCGGCCAAATGCTAGACAAACGAAGCCCCGTCGAAGTCATCCGAGCTTGCCAGAGGAACGAGACCTTCTACCAGATCTTCGACCTCGACAAGAAGTACCACCTGGCAGATCTGAACGTAAGTCGTTTTAGAAGTTAGGCCTAGGCCTGGATTTGATTTTTAGGCCAATCTAAATTATATTTTCAGAAATTCGACCAAGAAGCCATGAAACAACTTGATGAACAGCTAGGAAATGCTCTTGATCAGCTACCAATCGACCGGCCAATCGGAGCCTTTGTCAGTCAAAAGGAGATCGCCGAGCTACAATCGCTTTCTGACGTCAACATCACACAGTTGTCTTCTGAAGGGCTGGCCAAGGTACGGCAAAACATACTGTAAAGGCTTTATGTATTTCGAGCAACGAATGCCGTTGGCCAACTGATTTATAAGTTGCAGTATATAGATAGCTTACATATGGACGTAAAACGCTGATTCCCATTTTTTCAGATCAAGCAAAGCATCGACTCCTTGGATCTGATGAGCAAACTCAACAGCTTCACGAGTGATGCTGATGCTCAACACTCTGGAAGGCCACAGGCTGTCAGTTCGGTATGCTCAAAACGTTATTAACAGTATATTTTGAACATTTAGATCATCGAGCAAGTCCGGGAGATTGATGAACGGATCGCCCAGCCGTTGAGGAGCCGTTTGGAAGTCTTGTACAAAAACTTGACCGACTTGGATACAAGGTAAATGGATCGGAAACGTCGATTTACGCGTTTCTTAGGCTTCACGAGCTTCAAGTTCCGGTCTCATCGCTGATTGGGAAGCTGGAACACGCTCAAGCACTACTATCCCAGGTAGATTACGGGGTGAAACCTCCGGAAAATAAAATCCAAGATGTTTGAGCCAAACCTAATAATAATTCTTTAGGACGTCCGCTCCCACGTTGAACAGGCCGCCCGTGACGTCCTCAGGCAGTTGATCAACACCTTCGAGCAGTACGTTGAGCACACCAAGTTCCAGGTACGTTAAGGCAACATGTTAAAGACGAAGCAGAACTCTAAATGAAGTAAAAGTTTACAAAGTGATGCTTTTAGATCGAAAACGATGTCTCTTCCTGCGGACCGATCTCGGATGTTGCACGAAATTCAAGAGCTGCGCTTTGTGGACATACCATCGATCCTATCGTAAGTTTATCAGCTTGAGCAGACTAATGCATAAAGTAGCTTAATAAAGATCTCGTTTTCCTGAAAGGTCTCCGCTATCTTACCCTATCTGCAAAGCATAAACCTTTCCAGAACGGCGCCTGGATGTCGTTGCTGATCTCCCTACTCGTTTCCTTCCCAATCGTGCTGATGGCTACCGCACTTCGAAGACTCTACAATAAAATGCACGCCTATCCGAAATAGTAAGTATTAAGTTAAGCATCTTATTCAAGGACTCGTTTTAGTTCCCAATTTGAGGAACAGCAATCGTAAGTATAATTAGCTTTGGGGTCCCATTTCCAATACTTGCTTTCCCCCTAAATAATTCTTAAAAACTGCCCTTTTTAAATTCATAAATTTCTAAAATTACCTGGCTTATAAAACAACAAGCTTAACAATTACGTAACATTGCCAAATACCAGCTAAAGAACCGCTATGAGCCATACAATAAGGGTTAACCTTTTTAGCGTGGTCCACGAGCCAAATTCGATCGATCACCAAATGTCGTCATTCGTCACGGATATCTATGACGCCAGAATAAAACCGTAAGTCTGCAAAAATTCGGACTTTTTGACTCATTAAAGGCACGTAGAAGGTATTGCGATTGATTTTTTTTTTTGCTATAGATCTTCTATGAATTTTGCCGCGCTCGCGACACGCAACGCGAGCGCGGCAAAACTTATGGTAATTCCATCGCAAACAACATCCATTGTAATTTTTGTCTTGTCCGCCCCTTTAATAGAAAAATACCTACATTTTCTTGACGTGTCTGACCCTGAAAAAAACCTCCTTCAAAGCCACCATTTCAGGGGCTATCCAAACTACACTTACATGGATGACTACCACCGCCATTATCGATAAATGACCTCGTCCTCCTTTCACGATTCAGTTACACTTTTCTAGCTTGTGCTATTCCTATTTCCGATTTTCCCCAATGTCTCTCATAATTGACGATTCCACCCCGGTTCCAAAGCATTTTACTCTATTTCAGCCCATCTCGATTACAAGTTTGATCTTCTTCATTTTATCAGTTAAGCCTCCTATATGATACTTTCGGCCTTCTCGTGATGCTCTTTCAGTTAGCCTCGCTTTTCTTCAATTTTTAGCATTTCAGTTGCCTCTTACTATTGCTTTCCACTGGATTCCACTTGATACACTTGACATGTGATGATGTGCCGCGCGCTTTGAGATTAGCAATAAAGTCTGGTTTTTCGAGCTTTTCGAAGTCGAAAGCGAAACCCAAATGCAAAGCATGGTGTCACGGGTGTCATTTTTCGTTAAAGGGTTCGGCTTTCGAACGAACATGTCCAACATTCGCGATATGCAATGCGACACGCTTTTTGCATGATTTAGCATAGTTTTAGCGCGAAGCTACGGTACGCACGCTACGCGTTGCCGGCCCGTTCGAACCCGTAGGAAACGCCCGCGTTTTTGTCATTTCTGCGACAACCCCATGTTCCGGCAAACCCAATGCGGATCCGCCCTCCAGACATGCACACTTTCTGGCCTTTTCGCTGCAGTAGACGTAGACGCATGCGCACTTGTAGCGGCTGATCATAGACATCCAAAAAAATTATGCTTTCCAGGAACACGTTCCGCGTCGGATTTGCACCTGCTATAGTTTCGACAGCTCCTGAAATCACCATCCCTGCGAAGAATCATTATTTTTTGCATGTAGCGCAGTGGATGATGCGCTCTGCTGCCTTGCGTGGCTGCTGCGTTGCGTTGTGGCTGGGTTTCGTCGCGTTGCGTTAGTGATGCGTTGCGTTAGTGTGACGCTTTATCCACCGGACAGAATTCTATTCGCCTTGCGTCAAAAGGTCGAGACAGAATTATTAACGTGACAAATCAAGATTTTACCGCGACACGCCATACTTAGCCTACATCGTACCATGGAGATAGGAATCATGCCTTGCCAGTCCCTTTAAATCAACAGTATCCTTCAAAAAAAATCACCATTTTCCCTTCCGAGGTTCACAAAAATTCCCCCATGGTAAGGTTGGGTGAGACGACAGTGCTGGTGTTGGCGTGGGTGATAGCCTTGAGCGATCCGTGTAAGTGGCGGAAACCAGATTCGGAAAATGGACGAGACAGAGCAGGAGGCTGCCCCTCCCCTCCTCTTCTCCAACGCCAGTTTTCTCCCCGCTACCCGAAAAAGGAGCATAATCTTCTTCCCCTTCTTCCGCTCGCCAAGAGGCTTTTGGATCGGCAATCAGCGCCCGATCCTGAGCCTGTTTCTCATCGATTATCCCCTCCCTTCCTTGGACGGTGCCCCTAGGCGATCGAGAAAAAAGCGGACAGCCTTTGGATTCGGGGAAAACGGCTAGGCGGCTTTAGCTTCCCGATATCCTTTTAACTATCTCTCGTTTTCTTGGTTTTCAAGAATTATGCAACAATCTCCGCGGGAATCTACGAGAAAACTGCTTTATATTTAAAAATTTATAGTTTTCATTGCTGGCTGTCATCGGCAATACCTGATGAATTCGCCGCTTCCGCGATACGCGACGCGCATCATCAGCTACGCATTTTCTTTCAACTATACATAATCGATCACGCATTTTTGATTGAGGAGCGCGGTGGTACGCGCCTTGCGTGGCGTGGAGACTGCGCCCAATTAACCATTAGTCCATAGTCAAGAGAGTCTATAGTACATAGTAAACGCGTAAACGCTCATATTAATTTGCAAGTGGTATTTCAATAAAAACCTGGAAATTTTAAGGAATCCCAAATTTTATTGATGATTGAGGTTAAGTAGCAGTATTTATGCACGAGTCAGTTGTTTTTCCAATTGAACGTTCACTTTCAGCCTGAGAACATCTGAAAAGATCGCAGAAAGTTTACTTCCTGGTTTGCTTTTTTATACTCGCGGTTGCTTCCCACCTTCCCTTTCTTTTCCCTTTTTTCTTAACGATGCCATGAATGTTTCCAAGGTTAGCACAGCAGGTAGTTTTTTTCCTTTACTCACTTGTTCCTCCTTGTCACAACAGCTCTTTTTTATGATTCGATTTCCTCGACAAAACTTTATAAAAAATTGTGTCTTTTTCAGGTTTTCCGGATGTCTCGATTATTACTACTAGCCCTTGTGGCATTGGTGGCAGCAGAAGAATTCGAATTTGATGAGCCTACGGTAGCACTTATTTACCACTGTGCAAACGAAATTGTCTTTTTCAGGACTGCGGAACCGCTGCCAGTAACTGGAAGCCATGCATTGAGCGCAAATTGGCTGATCAGGTACGAAAAATCAATGTTTTCGGGATACTTTGATTTTATTCCACGGCGCTTTAGTGCATGTTTAATTTAGGTCTTAATATTCGCAACTCTTCTTTACTAAAAAAAATCTTTTAGGTGTTCAGCACCTGTTGCGAGCGATTCGTACCGCCGGAGTGCCGCGGAACCTGCATGTACGAGACGAATGCCATTGAGGCTCGCGTGATCGTGGGTTGTTCGAACGCTTTCTTGCCGGTGTTACGGTCAATTTTTGCAATTTTTGTTTTGAAAGCTCCAAATTTCAAATTTTAAGTTCCAATGGTTTCAAATCAAAACATTATTTACCAATTTCGGTTAAAAACGTGACTTTTTAGTTGATGCATTCTATCCAGCCTGCTCGCTGCCGCCTTTACAAGTACCTGCCGGCCGTTGTTCACTGCGCTGCCCAGGTAACAAACGGTTTTTCGGGTATTATATTCGAAATTTTGACGCTTTCGCCAACCATTAGATGCTTTTTAACAACTCCGTTTTAGATAGCGTCGACGAGCTTTGCATAAGTTTGATTTTTTAGACGCACGATAACTCCGAGTGCTGCCGCGCCAAGGGAATCCACACTCTCGGCGAGCAGTGCATGATGCTCTGCACCCTCAGGTCAGCTTAAATATAACTTAAATCATGCAGAGATCAAGTGTATCCCTAAGAAATCTATCTGAATATATTTTCTCACCATCTCCCCACCCCATTTTTCCATAATGTGCTAGTATTTTCTGGGCTGCAATCAAAGCCAAAAAATTTGGTCGAATCAAACATGAATGGTGCTAAAATCGTATATGAGTATCTGCCATCAACATCCAATTTTCAGAAGAACCCCCGCGTGCTTTGGGGCATGAAGAGTCTGCGGAAGGATCTGGTGACCTGCCTCGCCAAATGGGACCAAATCATGCAATGCCACCAGAGCGGTCTCCGTGCTCGCAAGGTCCCCCGACCAACACAATAATAATCGAGCTATTTCAGTGTCGAATTTTTTGGTACATATCATGTTTTGTGGGAATAAAATCTTTTAAAAAAAAGCTGCTACTAGAAATCTGCTATTTTGCTCTATTTATCGCGTTTTAAAGGTATTGAAAAGACAGAAATAAAAAATCAATCAAAAATTTCAGCGTAAAAATGAGCTTCCTAAGCGTATTAAGGATTAATTTGTTAGAGACCCGCGTTTTAACCGAATCACCTTCAAAATTAAGAAGTTTTGAGTCCGGTGACCGCCACAGATGATAAATAAATTCCATTGATACAATTTTCCCATTTTATTAGGTTTTTACAGTATTTGTAATCTTGTACTTCCTATATCCCCAAAACTCCATACTCCATGCATTTCTCAATATGGAGCTGCACTCCGCTGAAAGAGGTTCCCCTGCCCATCGAACTCGAACCGGAATGGCCATTTCCGTTTTTGAGTTGTCCGTACTTCAACTTCCATTTTCTCTCGTTTTCTGGCCCTCCATCTCTTGCATTTTTTTGCCATCTCCACTGGGAACACACAGCTGTCCCTGGTCATGAGGTAACCAGAAAAATTATTTTACCATGCAAAAAGGAGGAGGGCTTGTAACTCGTGGCATTCTACTGACTTTTGATTCTTGGCAAACCTTTTAAGGTATTCTGGGCTGAATTCTGGATAGTAAACCTTTTATTTTTTAGCATGATGCGCTTCCCCTTCCAGGGCTTCTTGATCTTTGCCATTATTGCACACCAGAAGACCCGGAAAAAATGCAATTTGACCGCAAATGAGGTTCCTCAAGGAATTTACAAAAAATGTAATAATCGCTTTTGATTGGAAAGGAGGCAGGGAAAGAACAGAATGACTTACCTCTGTCTTCCCTTGTTATCTGTTTTAACCGTATTTTCTACAGTAACCCGGTCCTGCATTTCTGCAATATGGGCGGACTTCCTGATCATGGCTGGTCAAAAGTCTAGTAAAAATTTCTGAGATTCGTGTATTCTCCCCACTCGAATCAACAGACATTCACCCAATCTTTCAAATAGACATTAAATAAGTCAACGTGCAAACAGACAAATAGCCAATGGTCAATGGGGGACACCGGGGAAATCATGGTCTATAAAGCATGTTCGTTTTCTTAGATGGCCAGGATAGTGTGTAGTTTTGCTACACAAAAGCGCGCATGTAGGGCTGACCCTCTTGGAAAATTCTGGGATATTCCGTACCGTTAAAACGTGAATTCTAACTGATCGTGAATTCGTTTCGGTTTGTCCATGTTTTGATACGTTTTGCCACTTTAAGCTATCGTTTTTATGCATTTTCAGGCTTAATATACCTCTTAATGGAACCAAATTCTTGTTTAAAGTGCATGGTAAGTATCGGATTCGTTACCTAGCGTCCATCAGCGCTCGATAGCTACGAAGTGCACCAAGAAGCAGCGACTTCCAGGTGCGATTTGACGCGGCACGTAGTTGTTGGCACATTTAAAGGGAACGGAAAGGCATTAATATCGATTTCACGCGATCGATTCCCTGCGGATTTGGCCGCTTTTTTGTAGAAAAATAAGTTTGTCCGTCCCCCTTTAAGACTCTGTAAGGGCACATGCGAGCGCTTTCCGAGCATCGCGAAAAACCAAGATGGTTGGGACGTTGCAGGTAATCAGTTCAACGTTGTTTTCGCTTTCCAAAGCACGGTAAATACCCTTTAAAAATTAAAAATACTTGTCTCGATTGGATCCAAAAGCTTTTAGTATATCATGTTGTTGCTGCCCACTGGATGGATTTTCGGGTTGTTTGGGTTATGTGGCCCTCTGCTCATGCCTAAAAGCCGTGTTTAGGATGGATGTGGAGGGGGGGGAAGAGGTTTGGGAAGGGACTCTAGAGAGACGGGTCTCCCCCTCTAGCCAATCGATTTCGGGGCCGTTCCGCTCCCGGGTCGTCGAAATTGGGCCCTCTGCTGGGCCTCTTTCTCATTTTCATCATCTCCGTCTGGGGTCTTTTGCTCTTACGCGCTCTCTCGTCGAGACCAGTCTAGAAGCTTCCCACGACTCACGCACCCAGGAACACATCCCTTGGAATGTTTACCTGGATTTTGTACCTAGAGCTTACCTAGAAATTTTGGTTTGGTCGAAATCTTGTTTTTTATGATTTATGCGTTCTATTTAAAAAAGATTACATCAGAATTGCCAAGAATTGCAAATTTTTACATTTCAAGACATTGTAGGACCTCTGTTCCTAAAAATTATCATTGAGCTTTTTACTTAACAATTCCAAGATTCATTGCATTCTAAACTTTTAAATTTTAGATTAAGCTAAACTTTCAATTTAGTCTTATTAAAGTTCGATTTTCTCACTCAATATTTCCAAAACTGATATGTTTTCGTATCCCCCCAATGCATTTTTTGCATTCCACATTTTTTCTTGCAAAATATATTTCGGGAAAAAATTGGCTAAGTCCTGAATTTAAATTTGAACTGAAAGGTTTCTATCTCATTATTGGCTGTCTATCTTCAACTTTTTGAGGAGAAATTAGCTAGTTTTGAATAAGAGGATGGTACGAAATCGCTGATTTTGCATCTTTTTACGTAAATCCCGATAAATTAAAATTTTTCAGAAGGTTGCTTTGTTAATCTACCAGGAATTAATATTAATCTTTTTCCATGGCAGACCGGATTTTTCAGAAAATTTTTGCCATATTTCGTACCTTCTGGTTTTTCGTTGGCCTACGCAAACTTAGAATCTTTTGACAAGGCCTTGTTCGCTGATAGGAAAAAAATCCCAAAAATAGGCATTTTAGGATCCGTTAAAAATTCTGTTTATCTACCCCAGTTGTTGTTCTTCGTTTATGATTTCAAAGACCCGTTCGAAAATTTCCCCAGCCGGCCTTCGTCCCAAGCCTCCAATTCCACAGCCCAGCTTCAAAAATCCATTAGCCAAGGCAGCCCCTGGCTGGCTCGGGGCGGGTTGTTGACAGGATGCGATTCTAGGGATTTCCGGAGCATTCCGAGGTGTATATCTATTTCGACACGTTAACGAGTCGAAAGAGAGCCGGGATTGGGCTGGAATACTTGATGAAGGGCAAGGAGGACCCGCGCCAGATCTGTAAACACCCTTTGGAAAGAGTGGTACTACATATGTCACTAAACTGGTTATGTTGATACCTTTTCAAGACATTTTGCGTTTCATGTCGTAATCGGCTCAAGTTGTCAGTAAGCCAAAATAGTTATGGTAATGCTTCATAGCTCTGACTGTCGTTAACGCATTGCTGCTTACCGTGTCTCAACCAGCTAGAGTCCAAAATTTTTCGAAAGTTCTAATGGGGTCTCTTGGCCTTAGCCATGGCTTGGCTGCTTTATTTTATGTAAATTTCTGATTTCTTCACTTCGGGGCCAGCTTGTCTGTGACCTTATCTCCAGACAAAGTAATAAACCGTGTCCCCGGGCCACCTACCGCTATAACTCGGCATTAGTACTACTGCCTTACTACCTACCACCCATTTTGCACCGATCTACAAAAATGCCGAACTTCAAGAGAAGCGCTATTTTTTTAACATGGTTTGTAACGGAGGATGGAAATCTAATTTGAGGGTCTTTTCGGATTTTCTGCTTCCAACCTTATATCCAGTTTTTTAAGAATCGGGGAACGGCCCTTTCCGCGTTATATTTAAAAGAAGCTATTCATTTAAACACATTTCAAACCTCGTTTTTTCGCTGTGCGACCCATCTCTACTGACGGTACGCATGGCACGATCGCCGTAGAGATTGGGAACCAAAAAAAACCGACGTTTACTGCCTTATGTCTTGCACGGATGCATCGGTTGAGGGAAATTTCTGCTGCCGGATATTGACGAGCTTTCGTTCTGCACCCATTTTTTCACATTTCCACCTGTTGACCTTTCAGATAAACCAATAATCATCAAATTCTTTGCTTTTATCGTATTTCCATAGCCGATTTTTTGCATTGAATCCTGCCACAAACAGAAATCTAAACATTTTTGTGTTTAATTAATCAAAAAATGAAGTTAATCAAAAAAGCATGTTTGATTAATTTGTGAAAAAGCAATCTTTAATCTTTTTCCAGAAGGTTAGCTCTTCAACTGACTTTTTCGTCAACGGGAGCGGAATATCGGTATTGCATCAAGTCTTCCCCCTCCAAAATCTCCAATTCAAACACCTAGCGGGGCCCACTTTCCCAGCGAGTCACGGATTTTCGCAACATTACGCAACCCCCGGCCCAAAGTGCCATCTGGGACAGGGCAAAGGGCAGAGGGCATTTACCCCCAAAGAAGCACGCCGAGGACGATAGATCCCCAAAAGTCGGAGTAATAGACGAGAGGAAAGCTCAAATTGGGCAGACGGTAGTTTTTGGGGTGGTGTGCGAGTGCTGGCCATTCCATTCCCATTCATCGTCATGGCTGTGTGTGTCTGTTCAGCAATCCCAGCCTTCCATAACACATTCCAAAAACCGCCCACCCTCCCAAACATGCGCCTGGCGCGTATTGATCTTTGGAAACTCATTATAATGCTTTTCAGGGTCTTTAAGTTTTGATTTTTTGGTATTTCAGTTCCTGGTTCTCATAGTTGCGCGTAAAGCCTTCGAAACGGCCTTTTTCGCCGATTTTTTTGCGCGTTTTTGGGAATTTTCCTACGTTTTTGAGATTAGTTGTAGTTTTGTGACCTTCATGAGGTCCAAGCCATAGTTTTTTATCGTTTCCAAAGCTTTTAGGTATATTACGTACCTTCAGCAATTTTGCGGCATTTATTGGCTATTTTCTTGTCGATTTTTTTGGCATGAAAGAGCCCTTCGACAGTTTTTCGATGTTTTTGGCGATTTGCACAATTTTTCGAACATCTGAAGGAATTTCCGGAGACTCTTTGTATGGTGCAATCCATTTTTCCGCATATTCCATTAGCTCCGGCCTATTTCGTGCTACAGATCCCCTTCCCATGCCCTTTGGGTGCCACTGACGGCCCGGATGACCTGATGAATAATTAGCACGGGCATCGGGGAATGATGAATGGCTAATGTGAATGGAGAGAATGGCTAAACAGGTTCCGTGTCGTCAAAGTGGGTTTTTGAGTGTATTCTTACGCCCTACTTTTCGTTTTCTTCTCTTTACAGGTATGTCATGCCTTTTTTATCAACTGGACGGCGACTAAAACGCTTAGTGCCTCCTTAAGATATCGATATTCTGCGCTTTAAAAATTTACTTTTAAGGTGGCTTTTCAAATTTATAGCTATTTAATGCCGGTCCATTATTGTTCTTTGCCCGTTTCCCGTTCGATAAGTTCCAGAATTCGCTCAAAAATTTTAGAAATAAGGGGTGATAATATTTGTAAAAGCGTCCGAAATCACTTATCGCCCCACCACAAACTTCCCGCAAACAATAAACAATTCCCCCGTCATTTCGGGGGGTGTTGAAGTGGGTGGAATCGATGCGTGGGCGGAGAGTGTGAAATGATTGATTACAATTGTGTCCCCCAGAGGGGGAGACGCGTTTTGTGACATCAAGATGGAAAAGTTGGGTTTTGTCGGCAGGTTGGCAACCAGCTGACCATGCGCTTGATTTTCACTTGAAGCTCCAAAAATTTTTCTAGACTTTTAAGTGAGCTTTTAGAAAAACCGTACAACTAGGAAGATTTATCAAGATTTGGCCCTTGAAAACCCACTTCCCATTAATGTGCCTCCGCTTTTCGAGTTCTATTTCGGACTCATGATGTGAAAAACCTTTTTATAAAACTTCACCACACTCTAGCCGACCGTACTTTACTACACTATTAATCACACACCAACTGACTTATAAGCCCTGCCGGCACCTAGGTTATTAGGTGACTAATCCGGCAGCCAATCCGGCGACCGGAAGGAAGCCCCTTCTTTCTCTAGTTCGGGATTTCCTGTTGACCCGGAACATCCTCACTCCTTCATTTATTCTTTGTCTACTGGAAAAATAAGATTTAGGCTTCAGGAAGTCTATCTGTCTCCTTATTCTTCAATTTTCTTTTTCTGCTGGCGAATTTCAGACGTTTTTGGCTTCAGGAACTTGGTTTCAACGGCTCCATTGAATCCACACTTTCCGAATTTCAGACCTTTACCGTTACGTTTCTCCAATTAATTTTCTGTCCGGAGATTGGCTTAATTAATTTATGAGCTTTTTCAGGAGTTGGGGAGCTATACAGCTAAACGCAACCCGTTTGGTTATGAAAAAACGTCGCCAGCTCGCCAGCGACCGCCAAGAGAAAGGCGAGTTAAATTTGGGTTTTATGATTTTAACACAAACTATACAGAAAAAAATACACTATTTAAAATATAAATTGAGTTATTTAAACACAGCTGAACCTGAAAATTTAGTTGGCTTGACGTTCCGAAACCTTCACGACTAGCGTTTTCATATTTACCAGCATCGGCCACATATCCCATATTTGATTGGGGCTACGTGCGACCGGAAATGGAGGGCCGGGCAAAAACAAATAGAGTGAAGCCACCCCATCCAAGGAATTCTTTTTGCGAAAAAAGGCTAGACCCCTTCACCCAGCGCTCCGCCAGTCTGGCTAGCCACATAAATTTATGGCGCTTTTCCGGGGCGCTCCACTAGATAAAGCGAATCGAAAAAGTGGGATGACGGAGAGTGAGATAGAGTGATGATTCGATCATCCGAATGCTTTTTTGGTGGTTGGGGTGATATGGGATAGTGTGAAAATGATGGATCCGGATTGGAAACCTCGATGATTGAAGATTTTGCAAAAAATGAAGTTTTTTAGGTTATTCAACATATATAAAAATTTAATATGGCACTAAGATGATCCCCAGGGAATTATCAAAAAGTTTTTTGAACTGAAAGCTTGCAAACTCAATTAGTACAATTTTTGGGGCGTTTTTCAATTTAAAAAGCAAGGCAATTAAATTAGAAGTAATTAAAGTATATCAGAATAACGATTTCGGTATCTCCAAAATAGTTAACTGACTTTAAAAACGGCTTTAATGACACTTCCTTGACTAAAACAAATCCCTAAACCCCGAAAAAGTGGCAAACGGGAAACGGATGCAAAAGAACGAAAGGTTGGTGTCAAATTACTAGCGGAAAAGTGACGACGGGTCGTTCACGAGGGTAAGGACTTGACCGCGTCTTAATTTTCCCAAACCCGCTACGACCATGTTTAGCTTCAGATGGAGAACGCCGCAATAATAAACAACAGGAGAGCGAGCGGAGTTAAGAAGACTCGGTTCACCACCGACGGCGATGTGAAGGACTGGGTCGACAATAAGAAAGTATGGACGGAAATTAATTTGATTTTTTCAAACCGAAACTCTTCAAAAGCTGCGCTAGCGACTAAAAAAACTTCCTAAACGTTTTGCTAGTTCACTCGGATCCCTAAAAGAATTTTGCGCGATGCCTAGCCCTGCTTCCTTAGAAGGAAAGTAAGAAAAGGGAAAGGGGAAATTCAAAAATAAATCGAAATTTTGTATGGGAAAGGTTTATATTAGCATTTTGAAACGTTCGATTATAGGACCACGTCGAAAACGTATGTAACTACAAAAATACCTCTTAAACGTTGTTTATTGAACCCCAAGAAGCTCTGAAATGGCCTTGCAGGGACATTCATCTACCTTGAAATGAGAAAATGGAACGCTTACTTACGCAAATTTTTACAGATCTACCGACCAGAAGATGGCTTTGACGAGCGGCAAGCTTTGGTGCAATATGATGGACCGGCAGATGACGGTATTTCACTAACGACCAGTTCCAAAATACGCGGTTTCAGTCGAAACCGCATCGACCTCGACATCATCCAGCGATTGTCAACCGCTAGCCCTGGATGGAGGGTTTGGATGGGGGTAAGTTTTCCAGCTCTAAAGGACCCAATAATACTGTAAAACCGCTTAGTTTATTTTTACGTAGAAGGTGTATATGTGGGAAAAACAAAGCAAGTTGAAACTTTTAGTCATCGTGCTGATCTCATTCTTCATCCATTTCATCTGCGATGGGCTGAGCTTCTCGTTTGGAATGATTTATCCGGCGATGCAAGAGGTAAGAAGCCTGACTGTCTCTTCTACTATCTTTCAAATCATACCAGTTATACCAATCAAAATTAATTATACCAATCACATTTTTAGACCTTCGACTCGGCTCGTCTTGGCGCCTCTGTAGTGGCTTCCTTCTACCTAGCAATTCCACTACTTGGAGGACCCATCGCGGGGACCTTAACTGATATTTATGATTGCCGGTAAGCTTCAGAAAGCTATTGTCATTAAACCTGTAATTTTAGCGCCACCACCATTCTGGGCGGTCTCCTCGCCGGTGGCGGCACAATAATAGCGTGGGCCGGCCCGAACAACATCTGGTTTTTTGGCTTTTTCTTTGGGATTGTTACTGGTAGGTGATCAATCACGTCTCGCTTACCTGGTTCAGGAATGGGTCTATGTTTTTGCTACAACTCTGGAATCGTCATCGTTACGTACTACTTTGAGAAGCATCGCGGGTTGGCTACAGCCTTAGCTGTTAGTGGATCTGGAGCTGGGACGCTGGTGTTTCCATGGATTATTGAAAAAGTGAGTTACTTGCTCTCTCTCTCTCTCTCACTCTCTTTCTCTCTTTATCTCTCTTTCTCTCGCCCTCTCTCGCTTCTACGAGCTCTCTGAAGCTTACGCTATTTTTGGACATTTTCAGGTCCTCGCCCACTACGACTTCTGGTGGGCCATCCTCCTCTACGGTATCACCTTCCTCTTCCTCGTGCTCCTCGGAATTTGGATGCGCGATGTCGAGTGGCCGAACGAGACCACGGAGTACAAACGGAACAAATTTTTACGGAAACTCGACAAGATGAAGGAGGACCGGGGAGAGCGTTTGGAATGCCGATCTCGCTGGGTTCAATACTTTGCTACCGGTGAGATACCTCAAAACTGCTAATTTTTGATGTCCGAATTTGAAACACGTAGGAGCCAATGCAAACCAATTTTCCTAGGTCCGAGAAGCTGTCCAGGAACGACCAAGACTCTCAAGAAGTATGCCGGTCATTCCCGTGTATGCTGATGAATTCTTACAGAAGATCGAACCATCAAATTCTATCCAGGTGGGTGGTACTTTCTTACACGTGTACTTCCTCGCCTACGCCGTCAGACCTTAAATTTAACGTATCATACCTTACTTTTATGTATTAAGATGAACTATAGCTATTTTAGTCCATCCGCCAAGCGGTCCTCAACCTCCAGGACAACGTCACCCGATCCAAATCTTTCGGGCTATTCCGGAATCCAGTCCCCAAACTGGACCTTCCCCCGCTTCCAGAAGATGAGATTTTGACGGCAAAGCTTGATCATCTAGATCTGCAGGTAATTTTCGTCCTTTTCACGAGATACCAGATTTTCTTCAGACTCAACCTCTCCCTACAATACCATAACGTCCAAGGGCAGAACCCGAATGTACTCCAATCATAGCATGTCGATGGATGCGCTTGATCAGATGGAGATACATATGGGGTAAGAGGAACGCGTGATTAGTCAAAGCTTCTTAATAGTTCTTGAGAAAATAAAGTCACATGATCATTTGAAATTTCAGCGCAATGACAGAACTTGGACCCTCATCTGGCTCCAGCAGTGATTCGGCTCTTTCGAATGATGGGGATTCATCGAGTTCTGAGTTGTCGGATCACATTTTGACGAAGCAGGTGGGTACAAGAGAGAGAGAGAGAGAGAGAGAGAGAGAGAGAGAGAGAGAGAGAGAGAGAGAGAACAGACAGAGAGATAGAAAGGGAGAAAGAGCGAGAGAAAGAGAGAAAACGAGCCTTATAAAACTTTAATTTAGTCGAGTCAACCTCGTGAACTCTCCATCGTCCAACCATCAAATGCTCCCGCAAAAATTGTCAACGTCGATAGCGGAATCGTGATGAAGTGGGATCGACAGGGAGCTGGTAAGTTTCAAAGTAAACAGTTTTGATTTCTCCCTTAAGCTGTTAAAGCGCCCAAATTTAGGGATGCCAGGCCAGTTGAACCAGACGGCGCGTGGCATCCGCACATCCATGGTGGCACACTCTCGTGTCCCGGCTAGTAACGCAACTGGTTTAAGGTAGGGGATAACGGCGTCAGGGCTTACGAACGTTTTTTTGCTTAGGTATATGGCACTCCGAGATTCATTCCGGGGTCTTCGCTCAAAAGTACCATCGGCTCCTACGCTTTTTGTGAAAAAGAAGAAGAAGAAGACGCTGAAGGACGTGTTGCACTTGAAACAGGTAGGGGGCATCTAAAATCGAATAAATATAATTTTACAACCTCTGTTCCTTAGGCTTTTGAAAAGAATAAAATTGTTACATTCAGATGAAAACCACGATCACCGACACGGCCAAGGAGTACTGGCGCCTCGCCATGGACTGGCGGTTCTCCGCCTACCTCTTTTCGATCTTTCTGCTCTACATGTTCTATGATATCCCATACGTCAACTTCCCCGAATTTGTCGATGAACATCTTGGAGTTCCGCTCAGCCAGGTACAAAAAATTTCCCTCGTGGTAAAAAGAACTTTCTAGGCTTCAAGTCTCGTTGCCGGTATCGGAGGGTTCAACCTGATTTCAATGTTTTTCTGTGGCTTTTTGAGTGATCGGGGATGGATTAAGGAGGTGAGTAATTCTTAGCGGTTACTTCTATGAAATTGATTATATCATAGAGAGTTACTTGAAAATACAGTATTATTTAGCATCTATTCCTTGTTTACGGAGTCATGATTTCGTTGTGCGGTGTGTGCCTTCTGCTGTCGACGATCGCTCAGGATTACAGATTTATGCTGGTAAGAGAGCGCGAGAGGGAGAACGAGAGTTAGGGCAAGAGAGAGAGCGGCAGAGAGCGTGTGAGAGAGAGATACATCCGATACTAAACCCGATACATCCTTTTCAGGCCATTTCTTGGCTATACGGCTTCTTCATCGCTTCTAACTACGTACTCGGCTCGGTGCTGCTCTGTGAGCTGATGTTCGTCTCGGATTTCCAGAATGGATACGGATTCTTGTCGATGACCCAGGGTATCGGGAATCTCATTGGACCGGCATTAGTTGGTACGTTTTCGAATTAGTGGAACCCAAATGGGCGTTTCCATGAAAATCGGATATGAACCAGCAATTACAATCATGCTTTTTAAACAACTTAATGTTCTTAAAAGACTTTAAATCAATGATGTTCGAAAAAGGCTTTATGGAAAATAGCATTTAATTTAACATTTTCAGGTTGGGTTCGCGATGCTACCAACAGCTACCAAGTGATGTTCATCGTCGGTGCTGTCGGGATGATAATTTCTGGGATCATCTGCATTGGAATCCACGTCTCCTGGGAGGACGAGGATGAGGAGACGGAAAATAGGTCAGTTACTCCGTAACATTGATTAAAATGAAACCGTTATTGCATGTAAGCGAGCTAGAAACTTTACTGAGCGACGGCAATTTAATTCTTGAGCCATAAAAGCAATACGACGCGATTTAAAAACCATTTTTCAATTGCGCTGAAGCTCCTTACTTTCCAAAAAGACATTTAAAAGATAAAAGTTAAATAAATAAATACTAGAAAATTTACAAGGGTTTTTTAGTCGTAAACCTTCGAAGAAACTCTCCAACTCCAATGTCCACAACGCTGAGGAAGGCAAGCTCGACGAAAAACCGAGGAATGGAATTCTATTGAGCCCATAAAAACCTTGTAAGATACTTTGATAGCCATGTGATAACCCCTTGTTCTTCATTCTAGGATTTTCCCCATGGGTACCCGACCGTGGCTTTATTAAAGTGCATTTTAAATTGTGTTTTATTGTGATTGGCCCGTTTTGCATGGCCTTTACATACATATTTTCGAATTTCCCTTTTGATTGGTGATCCGTTTCGATAAGGACTGGTGAACAAAAGAAACGAGTGTTTTTAGCATTTTCTTGAGCGTATTAAACTTTGATTTTGCGATTCTCCTAGACGAGTGCATTCCTGAGATACGTACAACCTTTTTGTATTTGCCTTTAGTTAATAAATGATTAAAAAACTGTGCACCAAGGCCCGGATCTAGATCAAACACCGAAGAAAAATGACATTCACAGGACAGGTCAATCTTAACAATAGATATGGTCTTTTGTAGGCGTTGCGCTTGAAAGCGAGCATTCATGGTGGATCATCAGCGCTGTATTGCAGAATTTACATAATCGCAAAATTCTCATCGCTGGGAAACATGGCAATTGCAAATGGAGCAGCAAAACCAGAGATACGTGACCTGGATCTGAGAGCCGCAATAAGCGATGCAAACGTGTCATTATCTGATAATATTCTTCATACTGCTGGTGGCCAACTTAGATGGAGCGTGCGTAAAGAGGTATACCTTAAATAATTACTAAATACCTAGATGTAAATAATTAAATAAAAAATACAAATAAACACCCTACTGTAAATAAAAAAAATCCCGCATTGTCCCGAAACCCTGCCCCCAAACAGTCGCACACAAGAATTGATGGCGGCTTCTTGGTATTCAATCAAGGCTAGCTCACAGGACTTCGTCAGAATATCATCATCTAACAATAAGAGCTTGACCGCGCTTGACTGTCCACACACTTTGGTAGTACGCTCTATTCATGCCTATCGCCAGGCCATCGAAGCAGACGACGGCCAGCAACATCATCTCGAGCACCAACACACCAAAAGGTCGGTCATTCTGGTGAGCTGCTCGGTTTGAAGTCATCAAATAGGTATTTAAGAAATTAAAAGCAATTTAGCATGCTCATTGTGCACGCAGGACATGCTCAACGAAACACGTAGATACGATGGATCACATGGTTTTGATAATGGTTTGACTTGCGATCTGGCTCGTTTTTCTTGGTCAGAACAATACGAATCGGTTTGTTTTCAGCTACCCTAATAATGGTCGATGGTTGCGCGACGTTCTACCTGGTTTGCGCTAGCCCAAACTCAAACGAGCCGGCCATTATTGTAAGCCGAAAAACATTCCCTAGCAAAATTGAAGGGGGACACTCCAAGTGCTTATGTAACCAATTCCGTGATTTAGTTCGATTGGAGGATCGCCACCGTGCCATTGGACGGCAACAAAGCGGCTCTGAGTCTGTGGTGTGAGGAGGGGTTGATCTGGCAATATACTGAGGGCGACCTAACCACCTATGTCACTCAATATGAATGCGGTGATCTGGGTGTCTAAAAATTTCCAGAACAACATAAAGTTTTTCATAAGTTTTCCTGCTTGTTAACAAAGTTTACACAATCAGTCGCGAATGGCGCAGCTTACAGCTCCTGGAGCCTTTTGTCACAGAGAGCTATTTGTCACAGCATCACAAAATTCCAATGAGAAACGATGCGTTAAAGGGCTCAAAACTGGAAAACCCGTTGAAAGAAACCCGCTGGCAGAAAACACGGCAAGCCAGATATTTGAACTCTGCGAGCCGTGAAAAAAAACTGGGGCCCGACTCGCTTCTCCTAATTTCCTTGCATCTCCGAATTGTTCCCGATGCCTCGAGTTTGAGGATGAGGCCTCGAGTCCATGCCGCAGGAACATTACCGGTCAGACCTTCCCGTCGTCTTGGTCTAAACCTGGGTTTCATGGCTACGGTTCCTCTCTCACTCTCTCCCTGCCGAATCCCGTGCATGATGATGATCATATGCAAAAAAATCAAAATTTCCCTCTTTCCCTACATTTTTTGGTGCTCGACTTGTGATTTACATCCGTAGAAATGCTCAAACTGATGATCCTTATGAAAGTTGCTCAAATCAAATCTGGATTTGATTTCAAAGTCCAGCCGGTTTCAAATCAAATCCAGATTTGATTTCGAATGAAATCTCAAAACTTTTATTGAAATCAAATCGAATTTGAGTCGGATTTGATTTGAATAATAATACCTCTACGTTAGAACGAAGCTAGCCGGGAGGATGTCAGAATCGCCAAAGCAAAAGCGCCAACCACTAAAGCGCGCAGGCAGAAGCGCCAAACGAAAAGCGCCCAACGCCAAAAAGCGCCCAATGCCAAAAAGCGCCCAATGCCAGAAAGCGCTCCATGGGGAAAGCCAACGTATGGAGGGAGGAAACAATTACATAAAGTAGAGATAAAATAGCTGTTTTAATAGGTTTTCTGGTGTTATTATGGTAGTTTAGCGGCAGTTCGACCTATCAACTATAATAATTTTGTTGTGGTCTCCGTCTGTCCGTGTGAAGCCGAATTCAACTCGAAGGGGAAAGGAGCTAGAGCTTAGCTCTCTTCGGATTCGGATAGAGCGCCATCAGAAACCCCCAAACTGATAAAAAAATTATGAAAAACTTTTAGTTTAAATTATTAAAATTAACTTTGAAAGTTTTTCCTTAGTAAAAGGGTGGGGGACGGAGGTTGGGGTGATTTTGGACATAGTGAGCCAGGTGGCGCGCGTTTCGTGGATGAAAATTTTCACGGGGGATTTCATTTCTTTTTTTTCTCTCATTCCATCCGGTCGGTCGTTATTTTTGTTTTTTAAGGGGATTTCGGCTAGGGGAGGTATCTGAAACCATCGGGAAGGTATTTAGGTAGTTTTTGAAGTGGATTTCAGCAATGGGGGGTATCTGAAGCCATCAGGAAGGTATTTTGGTAGGTTTTAAAGGGGATTTCAGCCATGGGGGGTATCTGAAGCCATCAGGAAGGTATTTTGGTAGTTTTTGAACGGGATTTCGGCTATGGGGGGTATTGAGGGAGGTGGGAAAGGATGTGGTGGAGTGGGACATGGAGGGTAGCCCGAAGGCCAGATGGTTGCAGTCGCGAAGCGACTGTAACCATCTGGTTAGGCCATAAATTACCGACTGGGTCAAGTTATTCTGGCCTTCTAGGGCATTCTTTCACTCGAATAGCTAGTTCTCTTCTAAAGCAGCTTTTCCACTATTTTTGACGTAGTTTCTTGATCTCTACATGCTCGAACCGGTCCGAATATACATTTGTGTATCATGTGAGAAAGGTATAAAGTCGCCGTGGAAGGTTGTTTAGTGCCATTTTCGGATCCATTACCCGGAAATACGGCGTTTTCCTCGTCGTTCTGGCCTCCAAACACTGTTTTATAACAAGTATTTCGTGCTTGCAACAGTATTGTGACTGAAAACATCAGAAATCGTGAGAACATGAGGCAAACCCGGTAAAACTAGAGACTGAAACACGGCAATTCAAGCCAAAAAGACCCAATAAGGCCAAAACAACCCGCTCGGGGTGATAATTTGCGATTGCCCCCCATTAGTCATAAAACCATTAGTCATAAACTCATTAGTCATAAACCCATTAGTCATAAATTCCATTAGTCATAAACCCATTAGTCATAAATTCCATTAATCATAAATCCATTAGTCATAAATCCATTAGTCATAAATTACGTTAGTCATAAATCCATTAGTCATAAATTCCATTAGTCATAAACTCATTAGTCCTAAATTCTATTAGTCATAAATTCAATAGTCATAAATTCCAATAGTCATAAATGTTATGAAACTGATTGCTTGGAAATGTTATTCTCTGACATAATCCCGTTAACAAATCCAAAATTAATAGGTTTAATGATATCCGATCACGTGCAACCAAGAAGTTTGATTCGAGAACACGACAAGGACCATCACATACACCTCAAGACCTCTAACCTCAAACCTCGAAACTCAAAACTCAAAACTCAACACTTAAACCTCAAAATCTACGATTAATAAAATTTATGGCTCTTGAATTTATGACTAATGGAATTTATGACTAATGAGTTTATGACTAATGGAATTTATGACTAATGGATTTATGACTAATGGAATTTATGACTAATGGGTTTATGACTAATGGAATTTATGACTAATGGGTTTATGACTAATGGAATTTATGACTAATGGGTTTATGACTAATGGAATTTATGACTTATGGGTTTATGACTAATGGTTTTATGACTAATGGGGTTATGACTAATGGTTTTATGACTAATGGATTTCGCCCATAATTTGCCGTCTACAAAGCCTACCTATCGCTAAACAACGTTTAAAAGGCATACAAAGCTTGAAAAAAGCCATTTTATGTAATTGTTTCCTCCCTCCATACGTTGGCTTTCCCCATGGAGCGCTTTCTGGCATTGGGCGCTTTTTGGCATTGGGCGCTTTTTGGCGTTGGGCGCTTTTCGTTTGGCGCTTCTGCCTGCGCGCTTTAGTGGTTGGCGCTTTTGCTTTGGCGATTCTGACATCCTCCCAGCTAGCCGCACAAGCTAGCGCCGCAGACTTTAGAACGAAGCTAGCCGCACAAGCTAGAGCCGCAGGCTTTAGAACGAAGCTCGGCCGAAACCCTCTTCAAAAACGAAAATAAGGACCTGGGATACGTGGGTGAAAAAAAAGAAAGGAAATGGCTCCGGTGAAAATTTTCAGCCCTGTGCGCCAACGAAACGCGCGCGACCTGGCTCACTATGTCCGAAATCACGCCAAAGTCCCTTCCCGCGCTCCTTTTACTAAGGAATAAACTTTCAAAGTTGATTTTAATAATTTAAACTAAAACTTTTTCGTAATTTCTTTATCAGTTTGGGGGTTTCTGACCACTCTCTATCCGAATCCGAAGAACCTAAGCTCTAGCTCCTTTCCCCTTCGTGTTGAATTCGGCTTCAGACAGACAGACAGACGGAGACCACAACAAAATTATTATAGTTGCTATTTATTGCACCGATCATCACTTAAAGCTCGAACATGAGGATGCAGCGGAATCGTTTTCCGTTTGGACCAAACAACCCATCATCTGCGCCATAGCAGGGCGTTCCGGACGATTCCAGATTTCCTCTGAAGTCCTGGCTCTTCTGCAAATAAATAAATGAAACATAAAAAGAGATTAACATGCCAAATATAAAAATATCATAAACTATTTTAGTTTTTCTTCTTTTTCTTCTGTCCGCTTACCTTCAGTTCGGTCCAGAAGACGGCTGCGTCCTCCTTAGAACGTACTGCCTTTCCGACTTGGACCCGGCCTTCGATTCCACATCCCAGAGCTCCTCCACCGCAAGCGAGCGTCGGACGCCAAACGCAGGACTGAAAAGGACATACATATGTACTCGCTTGCGCAACCCACCGTGTTAGTCTTACTTCGAAAACCCATCCGCCACTGGACGTAGCGATCATGAGGGTGAGGAGAACGAGCGGCTTGAAGATCCTACTATATATAAAAAAATTAGTGTTTGTGTGTGCCACTTTGCATCCGCTGCCGTCTGTCTGTCCGGAGGATATATCGATAGGCGCAAGGCTTTAAGGTATGTATCATTAGGTGCGCAATGGTCTTGGGATGACTGCACACCCATCAGCTTTTACAAAAACAGCTGTTTTCAACATTAAATTTAAGCTTTTGTCAAAGCTTCTTTGTTAAAAAACAATTAGCATAGACGAATTAATTAGGATTAGACGATATAAAAGGCAGTAGCGATTGTTTTTCATTTTTTTGTCATCTGAATTCAGGAAAATTATGCAAAGTGAAAGATGAAATGGGGTCAGACGGGGCCAGGGTTGAAAAGTCGCGTAGCGGCTTTTCAACCCTGGTATTCTAGAAAAGAAAAAGTACCTTATTCAGTTTCGGAGTGAGGTAAACACAATTGTATCTGAATAAATAGAGCTATGTGATTAAATAAGGGCAGAGCAGACGAGAGGTTTCAATGGATGTATCTTATCGGGGCATGCTTACATATATGCGGAATGCGTAGGGAACAACAATCGCACCACAAGGCGCCCAACCTGATTCATATGGGGGCCGTCAGACAAAACACTGCCTTCCGCTACACGACATTATAAGACAGCGAGAATCTGTATTTCGACGAGATGGTTGGAAATAGGGGTCGCTATGGGGAAGGGGAGACAGGGCAGGGGCTTTCGGCGAGAGGGGAATTTCGGCAGGAATTCGCCTCCCGCGAACGAAATTATGTCAATTTCTGGCGATTCTTTAATTTAATTATTAAAAATCAAAATTTATCATTTCGCAGAAATAAAAAACGGCATCTTTATGAGTTTTTCAAGCGCTTTCGGATGAGCTAGGTCTTGTCCCAAAACTCCATTTGCGCCTGAGAACGTCTCCTTGTGAGTCGAATCAAGCAAAGGGTAGCTCCAAAAAGGGGCCTTGCCAGCGGGATCTGTGTATTTATATCAATTCGCTAAGTGTATGCCAAAGTGTGGAATGTCATGTTAATTCGTGAAATGCTTTTAACTTAATGTTTCGAAATGTAATTTTGTTGAAGTGCTGAGTGCTGAGTTTGTCAGCATGTTTTGTGTTAACTGTTCCTCTCTTGTAAGTGGTAACTGTATTGCACACATTATCCTTTGAGTTGTATTCTTTATTTATTATGAATTTTCATCGTGAATTCATACCAGTAAACGAATTATATCGAAATTTCTGCGCTTCCGCCGTACGCATGCTTAAGATTTCTCACAATTCTACTTTCTTCGACGCGCGCAATCTTCTGGTGAGCACTACATATAATAATATTGTCAGGAAACGTGTATGCAAAATTTTGATAATATTTCAGATGACGTTACAAGCAATTTGATGATACCATGCCCCTCTAGATGAACTAACTGTCTGACAATAAAGAGATAACTGAAAGAATTATATGAATTGGATTTATTAGAAAGGATGCGAGTCCTGAGAAGTGAGGAGAAGATGACGATGTCTTTTAGATGACGTTACAAGCATGTTGATGATACCATACCCCTATAGATGAACTAACTGTCTGACAATAAAGAGTCACTGAAAGAATTATATGAATTGGATTTATTAGAAAGGATGCGAGTCCTGAGAAGTGAGGAGAAGATGACGATGTCTTTTAGATGACGTTACAAGCATGTTGATGATACCATACCCCTATAGATGAACTAACTGTCTGACAATAAAGAGATAACTGAAAGAATTATATGAATTGGATTTATTAGAAAGGATGCGAGTCCTGAGAAGTGAGGAGAAGATGACGATGTCTTTTAGATGACGTTACAAGCATGTTGATGATACCATACCCCTATAGATGAACTAACTGTCTGACAATAAAGAGTCACTGAAAGAATTATATGAATTGGATTTATTAGAAAGGATGCGAGTCCTGAGAAGTGAGGAGAAGATGACGATGTCTTTTAGATGACGTTACAAGCAATTTGATGATACCATGCCCCTCTAGATGAACTAACTGTCTGACAATAAAGAGATAACTGAAAGAATTATATGAATTGGATTTATTAGAAAGGATGCGAGTCCTGAGAAGTGAGGAGAAGATGACGATGTCTTTTAGATGACGTTACAAGCATGTTGATGATACCATACCCCTATAGATGAACTAACTGTCTGACAATAAAGAGTCACTGAAAGAATTATATGAATTGGATTTATTAGAAAGGATGCGAGTCCTGAGAAGTGAGGAGAAGATGACGATGTCTTTTAGATGACGTTACAAGCATGTTGATGATACCATACCCCTATAGATGAACTAACTGTCTGACAATAAAGAGATAACTGAAAGAATTATATGAATTGGATTTATTAGAAAGGATGCGAGTCCTGAGAAGTGAGGAGAAGATGACGATGTCTTTTAGATGACGTTACAAGCATGTTGATGATACCATACCCCTATAGATGAACTAACTGTCTGACAATAAAGAGTCACTGAAAGAATTATATGAATTGGATTTATTAGAAAGGATGCGAGTCCTGAGAAGTGAGGAGAAGATGACGATGTCTTTTAGATGACGTTACAAGCAATTTGATGATACCATGCCCCTCTAGATGAACTAACTGTCTGACAATAAAGAGATAACTGAAAGAATTATATGAATTGGATTTATTAGAAAGGATGCGAGTCCTGAGAAGTGAGGAGAAGATGACGATGTCTTTTAGATGACGTTACAAGCATGTTGATGATACCATACCCCTATAGATGAACTAACTGTCTGACAATAAAGAGTCACTGAAAGAATTATATGAATTGGATTTATTAGAAAGGATGCGAGTCCTGAGAAGTGAGGAGAAGATGACGATGTCTTTTAGATGACGTTACAAGCATGTTGATGATACCATACCCCTATAGATGAACTAACTGTCTGACAATAAAGAGATAACTGAAAGAATTATATGAATTGGATTTATTAGAAAGGATGCGAGTCCTGAGAAGTGAGGAGAAGATGACGATGTCTTTTAGATGACGTTACAAGCATGTTGATGATACCATACCCCTATAGATGAACTAACTGTCTGACAATAAAGAGATAACTGAAAGAATTATATGAATTGGATTTATTAGAAAGGATGCGAGTCCTGAGAAGTGAGGAGAAGATGACGATGTCTTTTAGATGACGTTACAAGCATGTTGATGATACCATACCCCTATAGATGAACTAACTGTCTGACAATAAAGAGATAACTGAAAGAATTATATGAATTGGATTTATTAGAAAGGATGCGAGTCCTGAGAAGTGAGGAGAAGATGACGATGTCTTTTAGATGACGTTACAAGCATGTTGATGATACCATACCCCTATAGATGAACTAACTGTCTGACAATAAAGAGATAACTGAAAGAATTATATGAATTGGATTTATTAGAAAGGATGCGAGTCCTGAGAAGTGAGGAGAAGATGACGATGTCTTTTTAGATGACGTTACAAGCATGTTGATGATACCATACCCCTATAGATGAACTAACTGTCTGACAATAAAGAGATAACTGAAAGAATTATATGAATTGGATTTATTAGAAAGGATGCGAGTCCTGAGAAGTGAGGAGAAGATGACGATGTCTTTTAGATGACGTTACAAGCATGTTGATGATACCATACCCCTATAGATGAACTAACTGTCTGACAATAAAGAGATAACTGAAAGAATTATATGAATTGGATTTATTAGAAAGGATGCGAGTCCTGAGAAGTGAGGAGAAGATGACGATGTCTTTTAGATGACGTTACAAGCATGTTGATGATACCATACCCCTATAGATGAACTAACTGTCTGACAATAAAGAGTCACTGAAAGAATTATATGAATTGGATTTATTAGAAAGGATGCGAGTCCTGAGAAGTGAGGAGAAGATGACGATGTCTTTTAGATGACGTTACAAGCATGTTGATGATACCATACCCCTATAGATGAACTAACTGTCTGACAATAAAGAGATAACTGAAAGAATTATATGAATTGGATTTATTAGAAAGGATGCGAGTCCTGAGAAGTGAGGAGAAGATGACGATGTCTTTTAGATGACGTTACAAGCATGTTGATGATACCATACCCCTATAGATGAACTAACTGTCTGACAATAAAGAGATAACTGAAAGAATTATATGAATTGGATTTATTAGAAAGGATGCGAGTCCTGAGAAGTGAGGGAGAAGATGACGATGTCTTTTAGATGACGTTACAAGCATGTTGATGATACCATACCCCTATAGATGAACTAACTGTCTGACAATAAAGAGATAACTGAAAGAATTATATGAATTGGATTTATTAGAAAGGATGCGAGTCCTGAGAAGTGAGGAGAAGATGACGATGTCTTTTAGATGACGTTACAAGCATGTTGATGATACCATACCCCTATAGATGAACTAACTGTCTGACAATAAAGAGATAACTGAAAGAATTATATGAATTGGATTTATTAGAAAGGATGCGAGTCCTGAGAAGTGAGGAGAAGATGACGATGTCTTTTAGATGACGTTACAAGCATGTTGATGATACCATACCCCTATAGATGAACTAACTGTCTGACAATAAAGAGATAACTGAAAGAATTATATGAATTGGATTTATTAGAAAGGATGCGAGTCCTGAGAAGTGAGGAGAAGATGACGATGTCTTTTAGATGACGTTACAAGCATGTTGATGATACCATACCCCTATAGATGAACTAACTGTCTGACAATAAAGAGATAACTGAAAGAATTATATGAATTGGATTTATTAGAAAGGATGCGAGTCCTGAGAAGTGAGGAGAAGATGACGATGTCTTTTAGATGACGTTACAAGCATGTTGATGATACCATACCCCTATAGATGAACTAACTGTCTGACAATAAAGAGATAACTGAAAGAATTATATGAATTGGATTTATTAGAAAGGATGCGAGTCCTGA